GTGGAAAGCATTGTCGTTGACTGTAATGGTTCGGTAAGTGAAGGGCGTCATGAACCGTCTAATAGGATGCTCCTCAGACATTTGCTCACGCATCGCCGTGACAAAGAGGTTTGCCTGCTGCAGATGCATGTCATAGAGGTGATCCACCAGCGTGACCAAAGAAAAGACTGTGGAACGAAATCGAAATTTAGCTCGCTCCCAATCAGCATCTCCGGGCCTGCTTGTTACAACCTCTATAGTACCGTCACTTCGAAGCGGGCCACGCCCTGCGTCAACAATCATCACGGGCTTCCAGTGCTGATCGAAGTAAGCATCACCACCATATCTTTCCAAGCCATCTCGTACAGGAAGGCCAGACAAAGCATTGGTTTTGATGACCTTGGGGCACACTGCTTTTTTACACCGCATGCTGCTCGACTTTGCCCACTGCTGCAACATCATCCCGACATCCCGCAAGCTCACAGGGTCAAAGATGAGACCGCGGGTCTAAGACTTCCAAGCCACAAACAGCTTTTGGCCATCTCCTTTGCAAGCACAAAACAGCTTAGCAACAAGCACCAGCCATGCATGCTGAGTCAAAGGTATCCGACACGCAGTGGGCTGCACAAATGGGCATACAGCAGCAGAACATGCGCGCACATTCAAGCTCAATCGCTTGCGACCTTTGAATGCTGGTGTACCATTCAGCACCCGAGATCCAACTTTGTCTTGGACTTAATAAGCCTGAATGCCCTCAATGAAATCGCTTTTGTCTTGAGCAGCCTCATCCGCTCCAAAAGAAAAATCTTCAGTTGCCCAAGGCTCTAGTCTCCACAGCCACGCGGTGCGCCCCCAGCCCATGCAGACAAAAGCGTGTCAAAGCCACATCACTCAGCTTGTCCGGCCACTCCTGCAAACATCATCACACCATCATGATAACAATAACGATCACCAGGACAGAGACGATGACCACCACCAACAACCAACCACCATCAATCAGCAATCCACTACCAACCAGGCAACCAGCCAGCCAGCCAAATAAACAAACGAACAACAAACAATAAGCAACAGTCGATGCCAGACAGAAAACCAACGAACAAAACTACCAAATCACCAACAGCAATGTCACTGCCGCCACTGCCGTTGCTGCCACCCCTGCATTGAAAGGCAAAGGTATGGAGAGGACATTCAAAGAACAAAAACAGCAAAAACTAAAAAGAGGCAGAAGACAACGAAGGGTGACCCGAGGAGAAAGCCAGGCTTGGCACTATGTTGCCATCACCTTCTCTTAGGATTGGCATTTATATGGCGCAAGTCTGCTGACAGACCCTGCCTGGTAGACTGTCGGGTAGATGGAAGAGAGCTGTTTCATCACAAACTCCACAGGGTTCTCATCTGGACCGAAAGACTGCAGGTCCAAAGACTGTGGGAGGATTGTCAGCTTCTGCTCAATAAGACTTTCGCTTGACAGCTCGAACTCGTCTGCGGATCCATAAGGCACTTGCAGAGACAGTGCGTAGTCCAGGTAGCCTTTTGGCAGCTGTTCTTTCGGCCGGAGGCCTGACACAGGCATGTACCTTGGATTGATACTTTTCCACATCATCAAGACTCCGGTCATCTAGCAAACTCTGGCTCACATCACAATGCCTGTTTGGATGCCAGCCAAGTTTCTCCGGCCCAGCGTTTGGGATCGGTGCGGTCCACGAAAGGATCTGAGATGAAAGGAAAGAAGCGTGCACACACAATCAACACCAGCAACAGCACCACCGTTCCCACAAAACATGGCAAAGCACCACGTGGGTGACATAGATAAGCTTCTCATACAGGTCGGAAGGCCAATATCCTGCAATGCCACTCCGCACAAGGCCAAGCAACTGCATGACTAGTGCCACCCCCGCTGCTACTACTACAACTTGTTGTCATAGCAATAGCCGTCCTAGTAGCACAAGTACTCCCACTAGCACTAGCACCAGTAGCAAGGTCTTCTGCGGAGCAACTGGCTATCTAGGGATCATGGGAAGGTTACAGGGGCATCGCATGGTCTACGATCTAAGTAATGTCTTCAAGAAGGAGAGCATGGATTCGAGGATGCAGTGTGATTTCATGCTTCCGTGAACTTTTCAAGTTTGCATCTGTATCAGAATGGATGGCTCCCAAATCGTTGCAAAAACTCTTGTGTGCATTCGTGAACTCCTTTCTGAACCATGGTAAGCTGGGAAAAGTCTGAACCCTGAAGCGCAAACCCTCGAACAAATAACAACCTCTGCCAATAACGAAACCCCCCCGCCCCAATAACAAATGCTCACCACATTACATGACGGTACTGTGAATGGGGGGGCTGTGAACCCTAAATCAATAGTAGCTTCCATTTTCTTTTCCATTATCCCCATAAAACCCCCATAATGACCATGTAACCCCTGTATGGGGGATTGTAAACCCTAAACCCTATTCAAATGAAGACGGCCTGGCCAGCATCGCCTGTATGCGTTGGGTTGGAAGTGCTTAAGGGTTGAAACGGACAAATATGTAGGGAGTATGTACAGATTGTATGGAGTTTTAGGGGTTTCCATCCAATAAGGGAGAATCACGTGCAAAACAAAATAGCACATGAAATAGAAACTGGGTTTACTTCCCAAAGTGACTGCCTCCTGTCTCGTTCATCACCAAACATATGAATTATGCGTGGAAGCATTGTCAAAACAGAAACACCGCAGAAAGAGCTACTCTGCAAGCCATCCTCATCATCATGACCATGCTCATGAACAACAACAGCAGCCACATCATCATCAACAACAACGCCAACATTTCAGAGACAATGGCGTAGTTGAACTGCTTCCAACTTCTTGTGTTCTTTCCTCCAGCCTGTATGCTATTCTTTCTCATCATCGCGCATGTCTTGTACTAACGTTAACAAGTATTGTCTCTACCCGTTGGCAGGCCCATATTGATCTTGGCTGCACGCACGGTCAGGGAAGCTCCGGCCAGCTTCTGTTCAACACCATGTCAGCTCATGCATACACCAGATGTTAACAGCAAAATTCCCGAGCATTCAAACATATGTGTTATTCTCAAAATTTCGGGTCTCTTTTGGTTATAGGTTATATTACGGCGCCTAATATTTAGGGGTACCAAAATGGGACCCTAATTTTGGGAACTACCCATATGAAATCGGTTAAGTGCCACCCCGGCGCCAGAACCAGAAGTAGACGAGCGCGAAACACAGCGGCAGGCCAAAGAGCACCCCTGAGGATTGCAGCAATAGGAATAGTAGTAATAAAAAATACATAAAAATAGTAGTTATAATCGTAATAAGAAAATAATAGTAATTATAATGGGGAGGTCTACCATAAAAAATCGGTGATCTGTGGTGTTGAAGGGTTGGAAGTAAAACTATGTTTAGGGACTGTAATCATGGAAAAATTATATGCAGCTTGGGGTCTAGTGCCCCTCAGAAGTTGCACAAGAACGGCATAACATGCACATCCAATGGTTCCAACTGTGTAGATTGCTGGGGTTATGAGGTCAGGCCACTCCAAAGCCCTAGATGTCAGGCATGCGAGCCTATTGCCCAGACCAAATTTCCGATCAGGTAAATGAGGACTCCCAGGACGAGGAACAGAACCTCGTGGCAAGAAAAGGGTCACCAGGAGGGAGCTCAATCCGAGCTCCCAGCTCCGCAGCTCTTGCATGCTGGACTCTGCAATTGACTCTTGCGCACCCAGTTGCCACGCCCAAAAACGGGACGATGAAAATCCATGGACAACAGAAAAAGTAGATGGGTGTTGTCGCGGGCCTCGCTTGTGCGAGAAGCAAAGGGAAGCAGGACTGCAACAGCAACTGCAAGGAGAAGGTGGCACGTTGCCGCTGAGGCTCTGCTGCACAGGCCACCCACTTCCAGCTCCTGCTCAGGAAAGCTTATCACAAGGTCGAGCTGTCTAAAAGGCCATGAAGTTACCATTATCATCGCTTACCATCCAGTGCAGGGACGGACGTCACACCGTCTTTGCGCTGTAGTCACTGTAGTCAACCTGCAGACCAGGTGCCCTCTTCCAGCTTCAGGAGCTGTTGCGATTCATCTGACTTTGATGGCATTCCTCGGTTCTGCCCGTCCCTTGAACTTTTCACTGAGTCCTCTGCGCACGGTCTCTGATGCAGTCTAAGAAGCTCGAGGCCGCCCCGTGCAGCTCTAGAAGCAAAAGTGGAGTCCGCACTCCAACTTAAAAAGTTCCCGCAGGTTTGGCTGGCTCAGCTGCAGCTCTTGCAGAGTCAATCAATGGTTCAATGGTCTGGCAACGAAATGTGCGGAATCAACTCCCAAAAATCAGTTGGAGATCTCTGCACAGCAATGCGAAGCTTTAGGACATCCAAGTTTGGGACAGTACAAAGTCAAGCAGTTGTTTTTATCGTTCACGTACGCCGCGCTTGCTCACTAATGTCGGCCATGTCCACTGCGATGTCCTACTTCGCCGCTGCGCCCCAGTTGCATGTCCGCGAGCACGTCAGTCGAGCTGTTGTTCACGCATCGGCATCTACCCCAAGGGAACCTTAGCTGTGTTCGCATGACCACTACATCAGGAAGCCCACGTGAGACTCTAGCTGACCGTCATTCATACAGGAACTCTAGTTTGCTTTCTGACGGTAATCGCGCGGCCTTGTGCCAAGTGATTGCTGTGCCGCGCATTGGGCCTGTTGCCTCCTCTTGCACTGGCGCTCTTGCGCCAATCACTTTCATCCATGGCAATCTGTCGCCAGACAGCATTTGAAGCGTTGAAAATTCATGGCTTCAGCGATTGGACGATTCCATGCAGATGAGTTTAGGTCATGTGCTCTGAAAACGACTCATCATGTCCGATGTTGTCAGTCCGCCACATAAAGCAGACACAGCAAAATGAAACTCCTAGCTCCTAGGGTTCAACTATGACATACTGGCCCTACCAAACCCTCCTCATAATGAAGCGAAAGAATATTGAATTGGACCCTATTCCTGCTTCCTTTCTGCAGGCTGTGATTGTCCAAACCTGTTCACTGTGTACTTTGGACCCCCCCCCCTTCTCCCAACTCTCCACATGCCGACAATGCAATGTTATGTACAGTGATCCCTTCCTCCCCACCCTCCCCTTCTGCCCCAGTCGCCCTTGCTGTACAGCAATGTTCTTTATTGCAAGGTTGCATGGGATCAGAACGAGATTTTAGGGGCTGGTGTTCATTGAGAACTCCACAGGCATTGTGTTGAGAAACTCACCCAAAGAAGCAAAGTAGTTTCTCAACCTTTGAGCCCCCCATGCTTTGACACATCTGCCAGAACATGATGCGGAGAGCTGGGCGCATGCCGCTGCATGCCGCACAACCACCAAAGCCCGTGTGCAAAAAGGGCCAAGACACAGCTAGCAAGCCAGGAAGTGAAGGCAAAAGCATCGGAAGCTAATACCCTCACTGTTGCGCCGATGTCTGTCGAAACCGCAGGCCGAAAGTTGAAGGCTGCGTCCTTGACGGGTGAGTCCTTCAACACTGCGGGAGATGCAAATGACATTATAGCCGGGATTTCGCAGCATCCTCGTCGCTCGGAGGTGCTGCAAATGAGTGTGCACCCAGAAAATGCCAATGCCATTTCCTCAGTTGCACACGTGAAGCCACCGCCTGGCCTACAGCCCTCAATTTTATCGCTGGTGCTTCAGAGGTTGAAGGCAGGGATTGAGCTTGTTCGCGTCAGGGTGCGAGGAGATGGTGAGCGCTGCAAGCTCCAGCTGCATCCTCGAGCCATCCCGTAGCAAATGCAACACCAAGATCACTCGTTGACCTGAGGCATATGCAGCAACCGTGAGGTCACAAATCGGCGAAAGCCGCCTTTTTCACCGTTCGGCCTCGCGGCAGCAGGCGGCAGGGCAAGGGGCGGCAGGTCTGCGGTGCAGCGACAGAGCTCACCTCAAAGACCAACACAGCGTTTCCACCAACATGCACAAAGCCTGCAAAGGTGCCATGCAACGGCACGCAACATCACCTCATTCCTTCCCTTCTCTATGTTGCGCTGCTTTGCATCCCAAACCATGGCTGGTGGAAGTTGTTGCCTGACATTGCGCAACCTTCCTCTTGCTTGCAAGCCTGAATGTGGCGGCTGCTCCAGCAAGATGCTCTCATGTTGAAGTTTCTGGCCCTCACATGCAATACCTGCACTTCGACAGCGACTGCATCTCAACCTCAACCTGCAGCCATCCTGCAAATTCCATGAACGTAAAAACTGGTATCAGCGCAAGCTCCTTCGAAAAGCAAGTCTGACGGTCCATCCATGACTGGAATTCAACAAAATCTCTGCAAGCGCAGAGCTTCAGACATCCAAGTGGCACTGATGAGCAATGCGACTCTCAGAAGCCTCCCTGCAGGACAAGCTACCCCTCAATCCAAAAAACAGCTGTCCCAAAAGCCTCTTGTGAAAGCCCACAGCAGCGAAGTGGATCACAAGGCTTCGAAAATACAAAATCATTTTGCAATGAGCGGCTGCTTCCACGGATCCACGTGGACCCAGCTCCTGAGGTGCCCAGTGATCGTACTGGGGCTATATTAACTTGACAATAACCCCAATGTATACCCTATTATTATATAGGGCCTTTCTAAGCCAAGCTTCCCAACCCCAGGCAAGCCAGCGGCCGTTACTCTTCCTTGGGTTCTGATGTGACTCTGCATGCAGCTCTCGGTTTACGAGCACAACAAGATTCCGAAAACTGACTTTGGAGATCTGATTTCGCACCGAGGAGGGCATTGGAGCGCAGCCGCTCATCTGCCAGACCAACGCACAGAAGGCCTGAGACCCAAAAAACTGGACAAACAGCTGCGAGAAGCGCACGTGCACCTCATGCAGGCAACTGAAGAAAGAGACAAGCTACCGTTCAGCGAGAGGACTTCCAGCAGCCACCTTTCCCGCCCACTCGCTTCAGTGTTCTGCCCAAGCACCTGCAAGCCAAGCCAAGCCCATCACAAGCCTATACCTTTCAAAATCTTGGCACCTTCAGTGACAACACGACAGACCATCAAGACTTCATTTGGCTAGTGCGCCACGCTTCCCAACACCGTCTCCCAGCCATCGTCGCCGCTGGCCACACGGCTACCAGTTCCGAGCCAGCCAAAGCTGAGCAACGGCGCCTTGCGCACATTGGGGTAATAGGGATAATGGAAGGGAAAATGGAAATTACTATAATATGTTGGGGTTATATAAGTACTGTAATAGGGGCTTATATATTGGGGCTAATAGGAGGTCCTTCTTCATTCTTCGTTAGGCCCCCCTTGCCTTGCGATCATACAATGCGGAAGTGTACGGGAGTAGTATAACCAAGGCCCATTTTGCATCCATGCATCTGTAGATAGCTAGGTTACGGGAATCGTTTGTACTAAAGTAGCATTACTGCCACTAGAAAACCTATGACTAGAAGTGCTATCTAACGACCACACAGCACTCGTGGTTACGAGGTCGCTCCAGCATAAATGCCTCCATCATTCTGGAAACTAGCCACATACCGAGGTTGCTACGTGTCCATGGCATTTTGCATGCTGTCTCATAAGGCCGTCTTGCCCCATTGCATTTCGGGCTAGAGACACAGTGACAAATTCAAAAAATGCTCCTCTCTTTTTGCCCTGGAGGAGAGGATCACACCATTGTTGGGCTGGGAGCCCTGTTGGGATTTCTCAGTGTAAGCATTCCCCATACCGGCCAATACCCCAAAACAATGAACTCGCCTATGTAAACTACCAGACTAAAAAGGACCGACTATTTTGGAGTACACTCCCATAAGCTTATGCTGCCGCGGCACTGCAAGCAAGTGGCAGGCATTTAGGCCCAGAAGTATCGCGAGGCTGTCCTCAAAAGGCGAATTGGATGAGAGAAGATCTGCCCTGAACAAGAAACACGCTTGAAACCTTTTTCCAGATTGCCCGCATCAAATAAGGCAGCAACAATCTTGAGTCCACAAGATTACAAGCATCGTACTAGTACGTCGAAGAAATAATCTTCACTCAAAGTGCGTTCCAAGCATCGTTCTGCGTGTGCTGAAGCTGTCGTGCTCGGACTCCTGCCGCGTTTTCTTACACAGACTTGAGGCTTTTCCAAAGGCCTCACCTTAGTCTGGAGACCAAAAGGTCCGTCCTGGGCTGGCACGACGCAGCACCGCCAATTCCAATGGCTCCAAGCTGAACAAAATGTTTCGCCAAACATCTTCGGGCACGAAGCTCAGGAAGCAGCCCTGCATCGGCGCTGCTTCTGGCTCACTCAGAGCAGAATCCGAGGCAGCTGTGAAGGCTGCCAGGAGAGCTGCCCCTGCCTCATCACTGCTAAATTGCTTTTCCCATTTACACAAACCGGACCCTTTTCTGGAAGGCACAGCAAAGGCACAGCACTGGACACATAGAGGAGCCGAGCCCCAACAAGGGCAATGCAGTCCTTCTCTTTGCCGAGGAACATTCTGCCTGGCTGACTTGCGCCACAGCGCAAGCACAGGGCTGCAGGGAAAGACAGACGACAAGCTCGGCCAACGCCAGTCCATGCAAACGGACATACCATGGCTCCACCCACACTATTGCTGCACTGTCGGCTCGTTGGCGCTCAGATGGGCCCCGGTGAAGGTAGACAACATGTGACGCAGCATTGTTGTGTTGATCCCCATGTAGACACACAAAAAAATGCCAGAGGTACACTTTGACGCAGGTTGCACTCTCGAACCAACACTGAAATGGGGCAGCATGGTGAGGCTCGCAGACTTCGTACGCGGCGAAGTACATGCCAGCCGGAGACAAAGCTCTGCACGGCACTAGTCTTTTTCGCAGCGGCACTTCGCCCTGCTTGAAGCATCCTCACAACTCGCCACGCCGCCTCGGCCACATTCAAGCACGTCAGGCGCTCCCATATCCTCACATAAGTGGTAACACGTTGTTTAAGACTGTCTAGACTCAAAACCTTCTCAAATGAGGAGATTTCTCTAGGAAAAGCACGTGCCACTGCAGCACCAACTTCAACAGCTCCTCCCCATCTCATGTTTGCGCACCGGCACGTTGCCAGTCTCCAGGCGAGGTGAGAACATGCAGGGACAATCAGTTTCTTGCCTTTCTGCGAGCAGCCCAGCACGAACAGCACTTTGATGCTCGTGGTAGGCTGGTTCCCGACTTCGTGGAGGGATTGCTCTGCGAAAATCTGATCTTGATCCTATCGGGACATGCAAGCCCTCTAAGCCCTCAGCTGCATCACGCACACAAGAAGTCGGGCTTGACGAGGCAGACAACTCCAAGGCATTTTCCGAAAAGACACCTGTTCTCTGAATGAAATCTAGCTGAAATTCGCAGGAGTGCCCACTGGAGTTGCTCAGCACTTAGGTACATTATGCCGTGTTGTTCTGCGGCCAAGATGACGAGGCCTGTCCTTCGACATAAGCATGGAATAGTTGACCCTGATGCAATGGAATTCCGATCTGGGCATTTCGCAGCAAGCGCAGCACAAACCACATGTTGGAAGAGTCAAACTTTTGTTAGCTGTGCCGCGAAGTGCCCCGAAAACTGCTAGCCATCTGTTGCGGGCCTCAGGGTGTTTTTGTTCGTTCCAGAAGTCCATGGACCCTTGCTGTACGAGACTACGTGCGTATCCAAACATCACCATCCGCCCACATGATGGACGTCTGCGGTTTCGTCGTGACTGTCGCGTAGCGGGTCTCATCTTCCATCTGCACTACCAATAGTCCGGAAGAACCTCGCGAGACAGCTGAATATCGGTGTTCGAAGCTGATGGCGCTAGGAAGCTTTCTGTCAAGCTGCCTTCAGACAATGGTGAAGACACATCGTTCAAGCCCCACTGCGGGTTCCAGAACAAGCGCGAGCCAGATATCTCACCTGCAGGCAATGCAAAACGCAGCTTGGAAACTCGACCTGTCCCACAAGGCTGGCAATAGAAATGCCATCAGGCTTGGCATGCCTTGGCAGCGGATAAGGGAAAAGTTGTTCTGAAATGCACATGAGCCAAGTGGCCTACATGCTTGGAGTCACATTGCCGGTACCAGTTGCCCTGAAGGGACTCGGTCAAAGGCTGCTTGTCCAAGCTTACGCTGACGAAAGCCACATCCTCAGGCAAGGATAGCCATGTCCCGAGCATCACCATGCCATAAAGAATACTCAGGCTGGCCTTCTTCAGACTCTTCAAGGCCTCTGGCTTTTCCTCCTCATCGCTTGCACAGCAATGCGTCGCCAAAGCGACACCCATGGCTGGAACTTTGTCGTGAATTAAGAGGTCCTGCTGAAAAGGACACAGGCTTGTAAGTGAGGACTACGCCTCAATCTGAACCTTGATGAAGCTCCAATGCCCTCGAATGTGTAGTAGGAATTCGTTGAGGGGCTGCATTTTACATGTTCTCGTGCATGAAAACACCGATGCAACCTCGCTTCGAGCAGGAAAGCGGCCGACGGTCAGGTCCTGTAATGCACAAGCTGATTCCATTGCGACACAGCAAGTGGCCGAAAAGGATGTAATCTGCATCTTCAGCCTGAAACCTGCTACAGCCCTGGTAGCACGATTGTGTTGGGAGAAGGTTGTCCTTCTCAATAGAGCGTAGCAAACTACACGTGATATGTCGCCCAGGCCGTCAAAAGATTTCAGGGGCCCACCCTCCTTTTCCAGGACGCCTGGAGTCGCTGCGGGCCTTGCGAAGCCAAGATGACATCAAGAAGTCTCGGTGTCAGACTACAATTACCCTCAGAACCTTTGCAGTCGATGCTTCGCTGCAAGCAAAAAAAAATCGAAACGTATTACGCAGAGGATGTGAGAGAATGAGGTGCTGCGTGTCATCCCACATGTGTGTTGAAAAACTTAGGGCCCGACAAGGACAATTTCATCCTCATCCTCATCGTCCAGCTCATCGTAAAGCTCCGTTTTTCGGCGCTCTGCATACTGCCTGCACCAGATTCAGAGCTACTTGTATCACCCAAACCTTGTGCAGTTCCACTGGGTGGGCTCACGCTCTCGTCCATTCCACAAAGCGCGGCCCGTCTTCTCCCAGCATGGCTTTCATCTTCCGGTACATAACTGTCACGAGCCGCGCAATTGCAAGGTGTGCATTGTCAAACCAGGTTCCAAAGCAACCTTCAGCAACTAGAAACTAGAAGCAAACAAATGCTTTGGGCAACAAAAGCGCAGGGCTCACACTCGATCTGGCCCTTGTGCTTCTTTCCCTCGAGCATGATTCGCTCGTAGAACCGAGCCACCTTAGCTAGCTGCAACTCATCTTATAGGACGTGGTAAAACGCGAATTTGCTAAGCTTCGCAAATGTGGGGCTATATGCGGGGCAGCAAGTAGGGGACTGACCGAACGGAGGGCCTTGTTGAGCCCAGTGGGAGACCAACGCAAGACCTCCTGCGCCTGCAGCCGTCACTTGACCAAGCAACGGAGAACACAGCAATAATTCAAGGACCAGTCTCTGGAGTCCGCCCTTGCAATGCTTCCCGTCCTTTGTCACGCTGATTGGGCCACCCAGGTTGTCCGGGTAGAGCACCACAGAACTGGCAGCGAATGAAGCATAGCTTGTCTTTTCAGAAGATCCAGGGCTGCTGAAACACTCAGACCCTGTGTGTAAAGGGAACCGTTGCTGAAGTTGGCAACTGTCCAGTCCCAACCAAGGTGCTGATTGCGGGAAACCTCGATCGTCTCCACATAGGGCATGCCTGCCGGCCTGCTTCAGACTATCTTTGCACCGTTTTACTTCAAGGTCCAATTAAAGGCTGGACCAAGCTCACCAGCCACAGATTGACTTCCCAAGGGCAGCACTCTCCAATGTAGTTGTACCTTCTATGAGGGGCCATGTTGTCGGAAAAATGCAACACCAGGAGGGCACAGTTCGCGCTGCGTTGGCATCTCCTCGCATGCTAAATTGAAAGCCTCACAGGCGTGAAACTGGCTTCACATGTCCAGGCTTAATGGAAAAACACTTTACTTCGCGCTAACATGCCTGACACCCCTGCGCACCCACCCAGCACGTTCTCGCCTCTCCGTGTACCTTCTCTGAGCAGCACGTTTCATTGAGGCCGCGGGAAATCGATCGCAACACCGCCTCAACATAGCATCCCCCAGCTTTGGTAGATGGCTGGCTGCTACCTATCCATTGGGGCTTGCTAATGAGTAAAAAGCCTCTGCAATGTCCGGCGTGTACGTCAGGCTGATGCGAGTGTTCACAAGGCTGGTGTCCTCGGGCCATGTCACGAGAATGCGCGGAACAGCAGGTTGACCACTAAGCCGACTGTGCTGTGCATTGTTCAAAGTACAGGGGACCCTCGGCAAGCTGTGCGTCAGGCCACATGTAGAGGTAGTGTCAGCGCAACACAAGCCTTGACCTTAGCTCGCCGTGACCCCCCCATCATTGCAAAGAAGAAGAAGAAGAAGCTGAACAAGAACTGTAAGACATTTGCCCAAAGGTGCAGCAGCCAGTAGCGAATGCTGTTCTCCTGCAGTACACTGCATGTATGGGAAGACATGGGAAGCACCTGGGCTAAGGAACCAGGTTTCTAGCGCTCCTTCGGCCCGAAAACGTTTCCCAGTCGAAGGGTCACGTAGGGAAAGCCACCAGCGTTGTACCTGACGTATGGGAACTTGGAAGCTGAAAGCTTGTTTCCAGCCTCGAGCAGGGAAGCTGAAAGATGCAGAGCCATGCACCTACGCTGACGTGTGATGGGCACTGCTTCAGAAGCTCCTCTTCGCACTCGAGCTCGTTGTCACCGCGCGCGCTCCTTCCCTCGCGGGCAACAGAATGCTGAGCAATGTTGGGCGGTGATGCTGTTGCTGGAGAGGAAAGGCATTCCCTCCGGCAAATCGCAGCTTACCTCTGATTTCACCAAGAGCGTTGAGAAAGCAAGGGGGACGCCCAAGACTTAGACTCGGAACCAGTAACCGAACAGAGAAAACACTATGAGTCGACAGCCTCAAAAAGAATAGGAAGACAAGAGCGTGCAAAAGCATAGCCTTGTTGTCCCACTCTTCAAAAAGATGAAAAGATTCTGACATCATGCAGCAGTCCTTTAGGTTCCATCGATCCAGTGGCGATATCTGCACAGGGAGTTGTTGTATAGTTTTAGAAAGATGTATTTTTACTCAACCTCGCGTCCAGGTCGTTCGGCATCTGACTCAAACAGGACAGGCTCGCTGTGAGTTCCTGGGGCATTTGTTGTTAGCAGCTGGGCAGGTCAAAGGACCTAAGCGCATGGCTGTTCTTGGCAACGTCGTAAACCGCATGTGATGAAATGAAAACCTGGACCAGACGGAGCAGATATGAGCAGATAGCTCCACAAGCTGCGCGGGAAAGCTGCGGCGCCAACGTACAGAGCCACTCGGTCCCGAAACACCTCGATGGCCTGCAGGCATACCACCCTCTTTTGTAGGGTCTGACTGGAAAAATCCATCGACACATCGCGCTCCGTTTCCAGGTGCTCCTGCTTCATTTCGTCTAGAGTGCGGGTCGAGAAATCCACCACGGCATCGAAAAAGACCTCACAAGTCACCAAAAAGAAACTACATGCCAGCCCCGGCGCACAGCGCGAGTCGCAAGCAGCATTTTGCCGTCTATCAATCGTCTTCAACTCATAGGATGGCTCCAGTCTTCAGGCCGGGTCTGCGCATCCAAGAACTGCCCTCAGATCTGAAAAGATTTGACCTATAGTTTCAGGAGCCGGCATCCGACTTCGAAAGGTCCGTGCAGTTCACCAAGCCAGAAGACCTGCAGACTGAGAGCTCATGTGAACATAGCTCCAAGACACGGCTTTGCTATGAGCAGCTGGCTTTCGAAGCACTCCTCCGCCGTGCTCTCTTGCCAGCCTGCGAACGTGTTACCACTCAAAGCTTGGACAGAGGATGCCTTTTGCCACCCAGGCATTGCATTGAAAGAGAAAGCTGAGGAGCAATCGTGCGATTGCATCTCCAGTGGGTCACGTAGGGCGCAAGTCGGTCAAAGACATCCCAGTACCTGGATAGTCTTTATGACTTCGACTAGTTACCTAAAACCTTGAATCCACCTTGGGCAACACATCGTGGAATCAAACAAATGAAATGGATCCACATCCAGCAGCAGGGAGCCGGGCAATGAGACAACAGGTAGAGGAGCAAATCAACAGCAACAGCAATGCCACGCGGTTTCCTTTCTTGTCTTGATGCTGCACTTCTTTGCAAGGGTCACTTGGCTCCTCTGCTTATGACAGTCACCTGAAAGTAGCCGACACCGAAAGGCAGACACCACCAAGCGCCTACGTAAGCCGACAACTCTAACGACTAACATAGATGTGTCAAGCCTTCTGTCAGCTAAGAACCATGTCTAGGCTGCAGACGTTGTGGCCATCACGCACCAAGCGCTCGGTCGTGTAGTGGCCCCGAAAGCCCGTGCCGCCTAGCGTGTGAAGTGGCTAGCAAAGGTGCAGAAAGCTATGTCTCGCTTCGGGTTGGGTCGTTTGCACCATGGCAGACTTTCATCGGAACTTGTACTGTACCAGTCAAGAACGGCAGGCCTAAAACCAAGACTGACCTCAGATCCAGGGGACACATTGACCATGACTGGCAGCACGTGAAATTCACAGCAAAACACACAGCTGGGCTAGCTGCCATCCAGCAATACCTGGCCAGACGCTGTCAAAACGTCTCCGTATTGGAACTCTGCATACAAGTCCTTTTTTGTTGTTTGCGTGCTTATGCTCTTTTGCTGGAAGCCATTGCATGCTAAGGAAGCAGCTCCCTGTTCCTTTTGTGAACTGGTGCAGAATTGCGATTGGGATTTTGTCGGCAAAAATTTTTAGCAGGTACTGCCAGCTTGACCGCCTCGGCGGTCTGAAATTTCATATTGGGTTCACGTGTTCTCTGCAGAACTCGATGTGTGAATGCCAAGCAACACAAATATGCACTGTCGGGCCTTGGGGTGCCAGCAGCAGGCATAGCGAGAGCACAGCCTCGGTCAACGGGTCAGGCCTTGCTTCCTTTAGCTGCAATTCTCGACACTGATGGTGCACTTTTGTCAGATGCTTCACAGCAAACAGCTTTTGGGAACAACATCCTGAGCTGGGGTCAGTTGAGTGCACCTGAGCGCTCTGAACTGATCCAAGTGAACGCAAACTTGCCTAGAAAAGCACTGAACAACCCTAGGCCATGACTGCCACCCCAGCCATGAAGCACAATCATGAGGCAGCCGGAAGGAACAGAAGTATTGCTTCGATGCTTGCTGAACTGTAGAGCCTCTTGTCGAGCTGAAGTGCCACGTGATGGCATGTGCATCCAGCGGCCAAACGATCTAGCAAGCTTGTCTACAGCGTTTTGGGTTGACGCTGATGCTGCTAGGGTTGGTGAGCTGCAGAGTGTTGTCATGCCGCGCCGCCCTTCTGACACATCAATGCCTAGACCGAGGACAACAAGGTCAACAAACCCAAATCATGGAAAGCAGAACTCCCCACCAAACGTTTTGCTCAACTGCATGCCGCAACGTAATCCAGACGCTGTGCAGGTTCTTTGTCCTGATGCGCCTCACCATGTCCCAGCTGCTTGGATGCGAAGCAGGATGCTGACATATGCTGACTGCTGACGGCGTGCACAGGCACGTGCAGAGCCTTCTTGGATCGTCAGTGATCTGCTTCGCACTCATTCGTGTCTCAGAATGCTGCAGCCCGCTCCACCTGATGATTTCACATGGGCATCTACTCAGAGAACACCACATCGGACCGCAGGACGTACTTCACTCCACCGGTCACAGGGAGCGATTCGTGAAGCAAGCATTCCTGGGCCCACAAACTTGGAGAGCTGATGCAGCACACGCAGCACAAAACCCCATGAAACTTCCAAAAAGCTGCTCCTTCCTTGCCGTGGATCAGAACCATGTCGATGTACAAGCGCTTGTCCAGTCACAGGCCGGACTCTCAAGGCCTCCGACCCGCCAGAATAGAAAACGGTCTCTCCACCGACGAGTTCGTGCTCCTCGCCTGTAAGGTAGATCAGCAACGTGAACTCCGTCTTGCCCCTGGACGTCTGATTGCTGCCATCGATATGTTGTCCGAAAACATCTCCGCCCGAGTACTTGTAGATCCGGATGTTCTCATTAAGGCCTGTAGAACTCAGGTTGACAAGGAGTTGGTAATTGGCAGACCGGAAATTCCGTATACAAAACCAAATAGTGCAGTTAACACGGAAGGCTTGTTGTCGCCTAGTTGTGCCTGTACCAAAATTCTCAAGGATCATAAGGCCTGTTGGTCTGCGTCTGCCCACACGCAGTGCAGCCAGGGTTTGGTTCAGGCCTTGCTTGGAGAGTCCCAAGAGTCTAGCTTAGCACAGCTGCTGCTGCAGCCCCGCCTCCGTTCCAGAGAGCATCCGCAAAATGTGGATCTTCAAACGAAATCCGGTAATGATGCCTCGGGGACTTACATACTTGGTTTCAAAGCAATACGACGTCTCTTGAGCTAAGGGGCCTGATGGCCTCCCCGAAGGCCGGGCCGCGGCTTGTCTGCAGCTCGAAGCCTGCCTCCTCAGCCTTGGCAACCAAGCCGGCAGCTTCCTCTGCATCCAGCACCCCCGGGACCAGAAAAATGTTGGGGATCCTGCAGGGCAAACTGTGGCACCATTGTTTGGTCACAGAGTAGCTGCATAGCACGCCACAGCCACCGGAAGCTTCCTCGTCTCCAAGCTCTTTAGCTCCTTCTGCCTGGGCGCTGCTGCCTGAGGGCTACAAGCGCCATACGAGGCTACATTTATCCATCATGTTGCACATTTGTAATCAGCTGAAGGCTTAGCTAGCCTCGAACCGTCTCCCAGGGTCTGGAGGCCGCCCGCCCCACCGCATGCGTTGTGCCTACCAGGTCCAAACTGTACGCAAAAGGTACCAGGCTGTGAAACTTCGCAGAATGTCCACAAAAATGCCGCCCTCAATCCTTTGCACAACGACACCTTGGTTCTCTGCCGAAGTATCCAACGTGAGGACAGCAAACGCCGTCGCATGGCAAGTTGGCTTGAGCCTTCTGTGCAGTGCATGACTTGGAGTTAAGCATGTTGTCTTTCTACAGGCACTTGCAACTGATGCGAGACAGGTTCAGTGTAAATCGCAGCCGCTTCATTTGCATGCGGGGGAAGCACGCTCAACAGGAGCAGGTCACATGGCTTAAGACAAAGCATGGAAGAGATATTGGAACAAAACTCCAACAGCAGTCACCTGCTTCCTGCACTACCAGGCTCATCAAACTCCAGCAAGCTGGCTTTGCTCAACAATGTGCTCCGTGAGCTCGCGGAGAGTGGGGTAGTCGAACAGCACTGTTGCCGTGTCAGTCATGAAGGGGAAGGTGGAAGCAATCAGGTTCTGAAGATCGATGGCTGAGAGGCTGTCCAACCCAAGGTCCATGAGAGGACTTTCAGCATCAACGTGCCTGACGTCTGCTTCTTGGTTGACACTGTTACCCTTAACGAGTATTGAGTTCGAACACTCAAGAACATCCGAAAACAGCCAAGCAACTGCTCTTCAGTCAGAACGTTCGCCACATGTGCCATCAGCTTGCTTTGGACCAACTCACGGTCGACACCCTGCGACCGTGCTGCTTTAGATGTCGCTTCTGGCCTGACAAAGAGATGGGTAAACTCTTGCATTTATCAAAGCCACTGCTACATGTTTGCGACTTTGGTCTCGCAGTCTCTTCACCTGATCTCATAGCATAACAATGACATAATGAGGCAGTGACCTTCAATTGCATCCAGTCTGACTGCTGGTAGACTTGCGCCTGACAGCGCCCATATCGTATGCAGGTTCTGGACCGTAGTCGTCCTCCTGCTGGGCCAGAAAGATCCAAAAGAGTCACCGATCCAAACGGGTCAGAAATGACTCCGGAACAAGGTCTTTTAACACAAGGGCCGTAAATTCAGACCAGGCAGTACGAATGCTTGCTGCAACTAGGAGCCCAGCCTTCAAGCCCAAAACGTACGTTCTGTTTGGGGTGATGATTGGAGCGCGTTTGAGCAGGAGGTGGCAAACAAACAGGCTCAGAGGCGCGAGATCATGATATGGCGCCGGTTTTCCAGCAAGCAGTTTTCTGAGAATTTGGGGACATGCGAGAAAGTTATCGAAATGACCGAATGAGCCTGCCTTTCAGTTCACTATGCCCTGCGAGTGGCTGCACGGACGCCAGGTTTCCCACGCCACAAACCCGGCCCGCAGCACATCCCCACCCTGCTAGCCGCTGCGCAATGCGCGTTGAACAAGAGATGCCCTACGGGCTGGCAGCGAAATCCCAAGAGATTGTCACAGCTCTGCCTCGTCTACCTGTCCAATGCGCTGCAACTCATCTCCTGGGCTGACCAATGCAGAGCACTGCTTCTGCAATCGCAGCTCTCAAATCTCATGACAGCCGCCCTCTGTCAGAACAACATAGATCAAAGAAAGAAGAACAAGTCAGGTGGCGGGCCATCTTTTCTCCAGCGGTGTTCCCAGTTTCAATAGCATTTTGTATTGCCTGGGGAGAACAAAAGCCATCAGGAGACATCGAAAGCCAACACGTCGCATGCTTGCTATGTATCCCTACGTTTGCCTCACGGAAGCTGAAATCTGCGAACAAGCATGGCCCACAAACCTCCCGCTCTGATTCCAACGGCATGAACTGTTGATTTTTAGAAGTGTTCAAAGTGTACTGTGGTTCCTCTTTCCTTGCACGGGCCACTGTAGTCATCCCGATGGATACATTACAGCTGTCTGTGGCATGCTCTTCTGCCCGGCTGCTCGGTCCACGCTCTGGAGAGCTTCTTCGAAGCGACCCAGCGCCTGACGGAAATAACACTCACAATCTCGGCAGAAATGCCGGCGAACACCGATACACTGACAGCTGTCCAGGTAGTGACCGAAAAAATGATGATCACATCAACTATGGCCATGGAAGCGCAGCAGCAGTTGAGAAAGAAAGCAGAGCCAGCAAAGGGCTGTGATCATGTGAGCCATTGTCTAAACTCCTAGACTCCCCCTTAATAAGCCCTATAGTGGTCCCATATAGAATCCCTGATATAACCCTCCTCAAAGAGTTTAGCTTACAGCTCGTGTGCACGCAGTCGCCTTGGCTAGGCGACCTTGCAGGAGGAGGCAGCGCAAAATGCCTTCGGGCACGGCTTAATATCTTTGTGCCTTTCAGAATACACCAAATACAAGGGCTGTCGCGAATGTTTGGCTCAAGATACTGCAGTTGTCTGCTTCTGTCTGGGCAGGTCTTGCAAAGATGCTTTGGGCAGTCTGAAGGCCTCCATTGTCCTTAGGTCTTCTGATCTGCCTGAAGAGGCCTTCTGCTTCGTAAGCCGCCATCCTTGGTGCAGACAAGTCAGTCTCCAAGCGCTGAAGAATTATCTGGAAATGTACGGCATGCACCAAGCTATTGCTGGTACGGCCTCTAGCTTCAGTCAGAGCTTCAATGCTTGTTGTTGACGACCAACGCAAATGAGGGCTTCAGCATGCCAGTATCTCACAGCACCTAAGCGAGCCCGCTCTAAGCCTCGTCAACTTGCTGGTGCTGGCCAGTCGGTCACGACACTCGCAGAGTCTGAGAACCAAACTCCTGTATTCCATGCTTGCGGCATCCCGCGAAGCCAGCGACCAGGCCTCAGTAGCAGCCCAACTCATCAAGTACAGGGAAGCTGTGCTTGCTCATTAAGGGCCTGCTCGGCATGTTGTAGGGCTTTGCCAGCATGGCTGCCCTGCCCTGGGTTCTCGGAGAGCCGGACAATGTTTACCTCCAGGTGCACACATTTATCCTGCTTTTTTATTCCAGACGAAGATGTTGACATACGCTGCCTGCACCAGCTGACAGAGTGCTGCCAGCTCCAAGTCAACTAGGCTCTCGTTCAGCTTCGCCAGGCGATTCCTCAGACTCACGAGGCAGGAAGAGGCCCTCCTACAGCCGATGGGACAATTTCATCCTTTTGCCGGGGAACATCTCGGTTGCCGCCTTCTCAGCCTCAGGGATGTCCTTCGTAAGAAGGAAGAGGCTGCAAAGCACATCCAATGCTTCGACCTGGTCCTTGGAAGCCACAGAAAAGCAGCTTCAATGGGAGGCACATGCCATGTTGGAATTTGGGGTAGGACTTTGGGAACAAACCAAACTTGAGGGAGGAAGGGAGAAAAGGATGGCGACCAACTTACCCCATTTGCCTTGAATGCTTCCTGCGCTCCAGCGGTAAAAGTCTTCCCAACTCCGGCATAAGGATCCTTGACACTGCCCTGGCTGCGCTGCACAACTTCAACTCTCTTGGCTGCAGCTTGCAGCGCTGCTTGGGGATGATTTGTGGCCATGTGCAGCTCCACCACATGGTGCCAAACATCAATCTCCTCCAAGGGCGCAGCTGCGTTCGGGAGGTATCTAGTTCGGGGTCCAAATTATGGGCCTTTGTCTGGGAGTCCCATTTACGAGCACTAGGTGGAACAATTACTCTGAAACTTGTTCAAGCGCTTCGAATTTCACGCCCTGCATACTCTTTTGCAAGACATCCTTCCGGACAGAGCCCCTTGGCCCGTTACAGCATGGAGCTTTTGAAAACAGCCATGCCTTTTTGTAGAGATCATGCTCTTCACAAAGGGCATGTGCTTCACCTCATTCCGCTGACCCGGAGGACAAACGAGGCTCAAAAGCTATGCCTGCTACTAGCTCAAAAGGCATGACACATATTGAGCCCCAAACTCCTGAACTTGCAGCAGTGAGATCTGAGTCGAGGCACGGCAGCACACTTGGGCCTCGTCGAAGCTCCGCGCTGCTGCGTGACACTCAGCCAGGAGCAGCCATGCACTCGCTTCGCCCTCCTTGCAGTCATCTGAGCGTGTGGCATGGGCTTGCTGGCTCTGAAACCAGGGGCTGATGTACAGGGTGACAGGATAAAAGGTCTGACGCACTGGCCATCCGACCGTCCAGCTGTTTAATTGATCCCGTCTGCTGCTGCTTGATATCCAACAATCTTGCTGATGTTGATAGGCGGTGTTGTGGCTTGCCGTCTTAAAGTGCTGGCTTTGTGGGAGAGCTAGTTTTTGGGTGCATCGGGACGTTTGCCCACACTTTTGGCGCATTGATGCGGCACGGTCGTGTTGCATGCGGCTTGCAGGTACATATCACGTGCAGTCAAAGTATCATAGGCAATTCATTTTTACTGGCAACGACAATGAATTTGACTTCCTTGAGATGTGCATAATGTTTGTATGAATCACTTCACCATAGGCTTTCCCATTGGCAAGCAGTGTGTAAAAATACGTGATGTTGAAACTTCCGAATCAGAGTTGGAAGAGGCGAGTGGCCACCCTCTCAGTGTTTTCTATAGGGTTCCAATTCTCTCTTGAATCAAAAAAATAATATTAACCGCCCCCCTGTCTCGGAAACGCAAGTCGGAAAAGCATGGAGAAAAGCATGGCAGGCGTGGCACTTCGTCCATTTCGGAGGCAATTCAATTGGCACCTCCGGAGGATCCTCCGAAGGTGTCGCTGAAGAGAAAACACTATGCCTGCCGTGCATTTTTCTGAATTGCCATTGAAAAGAAAAGGGTGGTTTCTTAGCAGCTTACGAATACAAAAAACATCAAAATACAACGTACATGATGTCCACCGCCCCCGCCTTACCCACCGGACAAGTCGGGGCAAGCGTCCACGAAAAAACCCGAGTTTCAGCAATGATGATTTCAATGCGAAGAATTCTCATGCCGTGACAACTGGTAAAGCGCTGGGAAAGCATTTGTGCGCGGCGGGGATACTCAAGATGCAAGGCTGTCTGGCTGTCCTTATCCTCATCTTTGGTAGACAGTTTCTTGGACTTCTTTGCCGAAGACATTGCCTGGTAGTGGTTCCCCTTGGCCAATTGCAACCTTGCAGGCGACGGCCGGCCAAGTGTGTTCTAACAGGGTATTGGCCGAAGCAGAGAAAGACTAGAGTCTAGAGCCTAGAAGGGCTCTTCATGGGCCAGGCAACTGCGCCAGGATCCTGAGGCCCTGCGCTTCGCGCAGCGTTTTCCCAAACTCCCGGGCCAGCTCCAAGCCCTCCGTCACAGCAGCCTCGGCCTCCTCCATCTGACCGCTGCTGCAGTGTGACCTTTCACGCTGCCCGACTGCTTCACAAAGTATTGAAACCTACAACTGACACGGGGTATGAATCTAGAGAGGCATGGAAGTCATGCGAGAGTGACCGGTGCCTTGCAAGATCGATGAGGATGTGCATCCTCTGCTTGCGAGACCTTGGCTGTCCACGCACCTGGAGAAGAGAATGCACTTGAACATCCTTCCGCCAGGCAGCTTGATACCTTGCATCAACTCCATTTCGTTCGCTGTCTTCTTACCCTGCGGGTCACCGCTCCAATGAGCACGCTTACTGCAGCAACGGTTTGCTGTGTAGCGTGCCGGAAGCTCTGCTAAATGGCCGAAGTACACAGCATGACTAATCCTTCTTCTATGTACTTGCTACCATGAGAGTGCTGTCCCTGCTCCCCGAGCTCCTGCTGCTTGTCTTGCTGTCAACTGGGCAGGGTCTAAGTTATCTTGATCCTGTTTGATGTCATAAGTTGGCAGAGGGCATGCACATTCTTCTCCACTTTCCTACATGAGGAAAAGGCACTAATGCTTGAAAGCATCCCATCCCATCATCCAGCTAGCCACTTTGCTTTAGAGGATTAAACCCTAAACCCTAAACACTTTGCTTTAGAGGATTACGTGCGGTCATGCTTAGACTTCGCAGCCGCGGGTCCTGGAGCTCGTCTACCAAGACCTGCAGGGTAGCCACCTCCATCTTCAAGCGTGGGTCCTACATTGGGGTTACATTGGGAAAAAGGAAAATAAAATGGAACTACTCCCATAGGGTATATTATAGGGTATATATTGGGGTTATATTGGGATAATGGAAAATTAAATGGAAACTACTATTTAGACACGCAAACTACTATTTAGGGTTTCGGGTTTAGGGCCATCATCAGGTTTTCGGAACATGTCCAGAATCAAGCAAGCCTCGTCAAGCCCTTGGGTTCCGCATATACTGTTGCTGCCTTTACCTTATCACCAAAACAAATGGAGTTTTCAAAACAGATGGCCATCGGGGACGCCCTGCGTAAAAAAGTTTGGGGTGCAAGGGCGTTTTCATCGAAACAAAAGCACATGAAGTGGTGTCCTCTCGAAATCGCTTCAGAGAAACCTGTGCGGCTCGAAGAGCCTCTTTGCGCTCACCTGCTTGGGGAAGTCGCCGGGGAAAATGATGATGTTATGACTCACCATCAGGGTCACTGTTGCTCTCAAGGGAAACTGTTGGATTTACTGTCACTTATGTGACCAGAACTACCTCTGGATTTCCATCCTGGTGGCGATTATTCTGAATCCTGCTTCTATGGGGCAAGACTGGGTGCTCCCAGCCACCAGCCTATTTGCAGCAAAGCCTGCAAAGCCACGTGCAAGGTGACCGTCTCCTTGTGGGACACGGTGGGACCCTTGCAAGCCCCCTGATAATAAACCCCTGCAGTAGTAATGCCATTATATACAACTGTAGATGAGTATTTGCTATCACGGGGGTGGGCGGGGTTCATTATAGGGGGACGGTGATGATGGAAGTTGTGCGTTGTACGGACAAAACCCCTGATAGCCCCTACTCATGTCTAACGGCTGATGAAAGACGTCAACCTTTCCTATAGTTGGAGTCCCCATAATCAGGATTATGATTATAGTATATTGGTTTTATATTAGGGGTCGCCCCATTTTGGCATTCGAAAACAGCCTGCATGCGAGCGCATCTCCTGATTCGGCTCTGGGTACTTCCGCGACAGATCCAGTGCCTCCAGAGCTTCCCGAGCAGCGATCTTTCCTGTTGGGACAACAGTCGTACTAGCAGTAGTAGTAGTAGTAGTAGTAGCAGCAGTAGCAGTAGCAGTATTTGTTGTTGTAGTAATTCTTTTCCATTCCAAAAAGCAATCCCCTGGCCAGTACAAGTTGAAAGCTGCCTTGCATCAATGTATCTCACTTCCTCTGTCAGGACTTTGACCAAATTTCACCCGCACCAAATAGGAACAGCCAAGTCTGATGACCCATGTCCTTGATTTCCTTCCAGACCCATCCGCCATACAGCGACCGTCTTCAGCTCAGCAATCTCCAATCTCCGGTCCTCATTTTACATTACAAGTATGACTGAGTGGTTGGGAAAGTCCTTTGTCTTCCCGGGTGTGGCCAGAAGGGTGTGAGGGGGTTGGGGGGCGGGGGGGGAGGAGGGGGGATTGGATGGGAGAGGAGGAGGGTGGAAGGGGAGGAGGAAGGGAAAAGCGGACAATTGGTGGGGAGTAATGGGAGTAATTATGGAGTGTATCAAGGGTAAGGGGGCGTTAGAGTGGGGAAGGAGTGGGGAGTGAGCGAAAAATTAGTTTTGTAGGGTTCGCAAGCAGCCAAAGTCTCGCATCATATCGCTCTGGCTGTTGTCCGGGAGGTCCGACCGAATCCGAGCTTTCAGAAGACAACGATGCAAAGGAAGGATGTTTCCAAACATGATCTCACAATTAAATCCACTAATTGGTTTGAGACAACATCCCATCAACCGTTGTGCAGCACGATCGTTGCTGCGCTACCAAACTGCTACCGTCCCTGCTTCTCTTCTTAAGCTTTGGTTTGCTAGCATGCAACCTTCTCGAAAAAGCTCCGACTTGGAAAAGCCTGCGGCTGCAAACAGCGGCCAAACAAATACAATAATTTCGATCTGTGACAATGACATGAAGCCGGAACTATGAAAGTGGTCCTACTTGCTCGGGACCTTTGCAGCGCGTGTATGCTGAGATGTTCAAACAATGCACTTAAATCAAGCAGGCCCAGGGTAAGCATTGAGACTATTTCATGTCACAGGGTAGCAGCTGCGGGGTCAAGGCACGCCAATGTCGCGGTAAATGGCCAAAGCTTGAAGTCCGTGGTCAATTGCAGCAGGGACGTTCTTCTCTCCCAAATACGCGAGGCTGGTGGCGTGCAAGGACATCCCTTGCCTCTTGCGATCACCGACCTTGTGGACATGAGACTTCTGGGCTCGTCTTCTTACCAGAATGCTTAGGAACATTGCGCAGCCCAGCAAAGACAAAATGCGAAACTATCCAAGTCTAACAACAATGGCTAGCCATCGCTTGCAAGGCACTTGACCAAATAGCTCGTATGCCTGTTTGGCGTACTTATGCATGCTCTCCGCTTCCTGAAACTTGTGCTGCACATTCACCTGGGCTGTCGAAGTTTGCACAGGTGTGCCAAACCCCCATGATTAGAAATGCCACCATATATGCAAGCGGCCATCATCAAAGCAGCGCGGCCTTGCCAAAAGGTATCCCCCAGCTGCTGAAACAGCCTCGACATGTCTGAGACGCTCCATCATATACCCTAAACCTTAAACCCTAAGCAGGAATTTCCATCTTATTTTCCGATATCCCAAAATAACCCCAATATTACCCCACTTTCTAATTTTTGGTCCCCAATGCGCTCCTTATGGATTCCTCGCACCACTTCTTCGAATCCGTGCGCATCTTATGCGTGGAGCGCGTCACGTTCACCTCCACCAGAGTGTAGAGCAGAATTGCCTTGGCCTTGGCACCATAGATCGATCCGGAAAACATATCATGCATCTATATATCTATGAGGCCCTGTGTCATATATACACATCTGTGCATTTGCGCACCGCATATACAGACATAGACGCCGAACTAATGCACACTAAAGCTATGCTTTGGCGGGGTGACGCCCGCACTGAAGACCCCCTGCTCGGGAGCCCTGGAAGGTGTTTTTGAAGGTCAAAAATTGAACGCGTTTTCGAAGCTTCCCCCACCGCTACGAAGGGTTCGGGGCTATTTTTTCGAGCAGCATCATCAGCACAATTGGACCTTCGTTTCTCACTGACAGCTCAACATACCTCGGGGTGTTGGAACCCCATATGCGTGGTGTCCAGAAGGAAATGGGGGCCCAAACAGGCCCCATGATGCTCATGATGCTGGCTCTTGGAGGGCTGCTGGGGCCTTAAAATATGCTATAAACCCCAACTAAATGCTCATGCTGTCGGCAATGCTTCTGGCTGCAGATACCAGTGTTGGTAGCACCTGCACTGCAAGACAAGCATGCGAAAGGCTTTACATGCATTGCCCAGACCAAACCCTATAAGCTGTGAATGTTGCGTTGTTTTTTTGATATGTTTGGCCCATACTGTTGATGCACGCAATCCTGCATCAGTTTCTTCCGCTAGCCATCCCTGCCAACCCTAAATTTTGATATTGCTTACCCCCAAAATGGTCAAAAAGGCTACATGCACGAATGACCGAAATCCTACATGTGCCAGCAACATTGAATTCAGAGGGGCAGGGGGAGCACGATCGCGGGCAAAGTGCGTGTTGTTGATCTACCAGGTCATGCACGATTTTCATCCACCGTATTTCCAGCTTGTTTGTGGCTCCTCAGCCATGATGCTGCAATGATGTTGCACCACTTTAAGTTCCCAAATGCGGTAAAAATGTCGCTTCTGATTTACAAATGTACATGGATGTGGGCTGAAACATGATCAGCCTGCGAAGGGAACCATGTTCAAAGCCGTTGTTGATTGTTGTTTCCTGCGTATTTTTATCCTTTCGGGTACCCATTTAACCAAAAAGGTGTCCCGATTGTGCCGGGGCGAACCCTATTCTGGATCGTTATCAGCTAGACTTGAGAGAACAAGACCTTCTTAACCTAAAAACCATCCCATGCAGCAAGAACAGCATGTTTTGTACACTCCTCCCGATAAGCATCAGCACGGCCGGGGTGGGCTTGGATTTCACATGATGTCTGCGTGGGTGGGGGGGGGGGATGGCGGCCAGCCAGGCTTGCACCTGCCGCTAGACCCGAAATACCCAAAAAAGACGAAACGGTGCAAATCCAAATCAAATTGTGTTTCACGAGCCGCGGAAATGAAAAACGTGGGAAGTGCTGGCAGAGGTAGAAAATGCCGCATGCCTCACATACCCTGTTGTCACACGCCTTTCCACGCAGAAGCGGCACCAACAAATTATTGCGGATCTGCCTTGAGGTCTCCTGCAGCTTTTGCTCGTGAGAGCTCGATCTCGCACAAGAGGTCGATCTCACTGGCCTCATACCAGGCGACCCAACATTCTGTCCATATGGAGCCCCTGGAAGAAGGCATCATGCGATGGTGCTTTGTAAGCATCTTATCTCGTTTCGACGTCGATGACACTATCAGACCAGGCTCGCTAAGGCCTAGACTAAAAAACAACACCCCTCAGGGGGCATTTTTAAAGCCTCCCTCATGCGCCACTTCAGGGGAAAAACCACTGCCATCCAGCCTTCAGGACTGCCTCGCCGGTCTTTGCACCATACTCCCCTTGCCAAGATTTTTCAGGGATACTATTTGTAATTGCATCAGAGCCACTAGCCCCGCTGACTCTCCGAGCACCATAGATGTTTCTGACGTTAAGTTCCCAGGTAGCTTGCCTTCATCCTGCTTCGCCAGGATCTCGATCCGGAAGGCCTGCGTTGCAATTCAGGTGAGCTCTAATCCAAACTCCTCAAAGGGGGTCATATAAAGGATTCTGAAGGGGACTACTATACGGGAGGATGCTAGGAGTTTAGATTATGGCTCAGGTGGAGCAGCAAGGCAAGCTGTATCCTTGTTTGTATCTTTCTTATCCAGAGCTTGGGGGCTCATGGTTCAGTCTGGCCTCTCAATTCGAGAGCATTCCGTTCAAACAGTTGCAAACATCTTGTTCGACAGCCATGGAGGCCTCGACCTCCCATTGAGAAGTACAGATCAAGTGGGAAAGTCTTGAACAGTGGCAGGCTACAATCCTCTTTCGCGACATGGCTCGCCCTAAGCGCACAAACGCACTGCTACCATGCACATCACTCGATCGGCTGTCAAAGCCTCTGCTTCAGATGCGAGATCCTCCGTCTCCAAAAAGTACTCCCGAGCAATGAGAGCCTGATGAACCGTTTCCGAGAAGGGTCTCTTATTTCCGGCACTGGTGTCCCACCGCCACACTCCTTAATCTGTTGCTTTCATCACTAGGCTTCCGCCATTATGACCACCGCCGCCACCACCACCACCACCACCACCACCACCACCACCACCACCACCACCAAGGTCAGCAAGGTCAGCACCACCACTCCCAGCAGGTCAGCGCCTGCTCGGAAGCCTCCTCGAGCTTCCCGAGCGTCAGCAGCTTCTCCGCCTCGGTCAGGATGGCCCGGGCTTCCAGGTCCGGGCCGCCATCAGCTTCGCCTCCAGACGACTGGGCGAAGGGTTTGGAGCTGATGAACGCAAACCTTGTGCTATCTTCCGTGAACCAACAATAAAGATGCTGATAGCAACTCTTCACACCGACGACTTCCAGACAAAATTTGATAATCAAGTGCGGTAGCAGTCACGGTTAAGAATAATGCAACAAACCCAGGCCGTAACTGAGCAGCCGCAGCAGCAGTTTAGACCCGTGAAAAGACCCATCTAATCTAACAGTGGGCATCGAGAAGCTTGCCTGTTGGTGCCATGAACCCATTCAGGCTTGTGCTGGGAGACCTCAATGGTGCGGCAGTTCCCCCCCTGAAATCCGTAAAGGGTAGTTACATCGAGGACTCTTATCAGGGTTAATCAGGGAGATACTAGGAGTTTAGACTATGGCTGTCTTTAGAAGACCCCTGTCTGAGGGCCACACGTCACCAGCACTTAAAAGACACCCCATGCCCACAGGGCCATCCTGGAGCCAAGGAGGTCCCTTGAGCCAGCAAAAAAAAAGTGAAATTGGCCTGTTGCACAGCAGCTTGCTTGCAAGCGCGGGCACTTCTGGTCTCTTCAAATTCTTGGAACTTGTTGCAGCAGAGCCTTGGAAATGATACTTTCCCAGAACAAGTGGATTTAATATAATCCCAAAATACTTTCGTCCTTATTATAGGGACCCCCAAGGAAGGGCCATGCCTACCCAGTATCATCTACCCATTTTCCAGTTGGCTGCAGCAGGTCCAAGCTTCATACGGCTTCCTGAAATGCACTTTTTGCGCGCTTACGCTTGCGTCTGCCCTGTGCATCACTTGGCTTAGCTGTTCTGATTGCTGGCAAGGGTAGCACCAAAATCAGCCCACGCTGCCTGAGTCCAATTCCTAGCTCTAGTGCTACTTAACTTCATAGCTAGACAAAGTAAACTGGTAAGAACAGTTTTGGTCAGCTCATCTGCCTACAAAGGCTGCAGCCCGCTCATCTCTCAGCCATGATACCTGCACACATCAGACCAACAGAAGTTCGTAGAACCTTCGTTCAGAGCTAAAGTCTGAACTCCTAGTAGCCCCCCTTAATACGCCCTACATAACCCCCTTTAAGGATTGCTAGACTACTGCTCAAAAAGACGCCGGCCTCAGGAGGATGGGGCCGCACCCTCCTCGCCTTCCTTTGGCGTGGCATCAGCCATGAGCTTGTTGATCTCGTTGTCCTGTCGCGCAATTTTCTCCGGACCGTGGGTATTTCCCAAATCATGGGCTGCTCTTGGTCATGCATTATATGACGGCAACTGATATATAGGGGAACCGAAACAGGAACCATGTTTTGGGAACTACCCATATTCTAGGCCCCAAAATGAAAGCTGGAATCAAAACAGCATGAAACTACTTTTAGTTCAAACAGCTCCTCCAGCATGCGGAACTTGACCTGAGGATCAAAGCCAATCGGTTTGCATCGCCACATGTATATTCCAAGGGTTCTGGGTTGTGCTTATGAGTTTACGTGTCGACCACTGATTGTTTCATCCAACGTGTATGCAGTCCTGACCAGGTGCAGTCAAGTGACTTGACCTTCTGGCGTCTTGTACACTATTCCGAATTCGAGTCTCTCGGCTGTTGGTGAAGCTGTGTCCATCGTCTTGACCTTGCAAGTGCAGCGAGAAAGACGGCAAAAAATTGGAGAACACGAATGTGTGAAGGCTGGCTTAGCCTTGCCAGCAACACTCTAAGCTTGCCACTAAAACCTTTGCCGTGAGCTCCAATGCCTCCTGGATCTTCATGCCTCGAAGAGATGGCTGTCGTGGCGCAACTTGTCAAAGCTCACAGCTTGTGTTCCCGCTTGCCTGGTTTCCAGTCCTGTCGCATGATCTGCATGGCGGTGTTGTTGTTCACACCTGCCATGGCAGAGCTTCCAGCTTGAAACCTTTGGTTTCCGCAATGCGCCTATGGCGTAGCCCTTCCAACCACTGAAGTTGCCCGACGGGTCGGTGTGATACAGCCTCAAGTGAGGGCAGGTCTCTTGCAGGCAAGACATGCAACGGCTCTGCAAAAAAAGAAATGCTGGCAGCCAAGTGAAAGCACCACCATTTGCCCTGTCTTCGCTGCAAAGGCCTAAAAAGACTTGTTCTCTGTGGTCCTAAGGCCATCACTGGAAGCCGTAGTGGACATCATAGCCAGCTACCAGGAAGGACACTCCGAATGGCCGGAGTCCACCGAACTGGGTGTAGCCCTGTGTGGCTTGCATTATCCCACGGCAAATTGGCACTAGTCCACTTCCCGCAAAGCTAAGCATTCCGCTGACCTTGACCGGTAAAGAAACATCCACAACTCCAACACATTCTGGCCTGCTTGTAGTCACAGATAGATGTAACCAGCTGCTCGACGGGCATCGGTTCGCTGAAAGAGTAGGCCTGGGCCCCGACAGGAGGCATTCAGAAATGTGAATGACTAGGGATGACTAGGGTTCATCTTCCAGCTCGGTGGCTTCCCGAATACTTGGGAATCAACAAGAACTATATGATGAAGAGAGATTTCAAAACAAAACAACTTCAGATCGACTACTGCTGAGCTCCAGGGTCAAGGCATGCTGCTGCGCACTGAGACGCAGCCGGTTGATGAGGATGTTCCTTTGTCAGCGCCACACTGTCCCAGAGCACAAGGGTGCAGCTGTCTTCGTGTGCACGCGCACTATTTTTTCTGAGGTCCACGCGCATCAGAGGTCATTCCGGCCACTGCACCTACAGCCCAGCAAACAGCAGCTTGCAAAGCAAAATCGCAGTGCTCAGTCAACTGTAAGGCGCAAGCAGAACATGGCGTCGTCCAGCCTAAACTCAGCCATTAGCCAGCATCATCAAGTGCACGACTCCGACCACATCTTCAATCAGCCAAGAAACTGGAAGAGCTTCTCGTGCTGCTTTGCTTGGTCTAAAAGCTTTGAGGTTGTCTTCTTCTCACCTGCGAGGACCACACCGTCCTGTCAGCGGCATGTGGCGCTCTACTACGCCCATCTTCAGGCAACCCTGCACCCTGCGGTCGCACCTCCGCAAGAACACCAACGGTTGAACCAGCCAAGTTGATGGCTTCCATGGCATACTCGACCTGAAATACTTCTAAGCCCCTCAAAAGAATTGCACAGCCCACCTCTGCGGCTTTGCCAACTTACCCTGGCCTGATATAAGCGTCCCTCAGGTGAGAATGTGGTCGTTCGCGAGTCGTAGCGGCGCGCCATGGACCAAACCTTGGCTGTCAACCTGCTTCCTGATCCTATTGGCAAGCACTACACATGAGAGCCTCCATATTAGCCAAGCCACTAGGAGGGAACACCAGGGGCTGTACAACTCTTTTAGCTACAGCGTCTGGGCCAAAAAGCAACAGCCAGCCAAGCTGCTGACACTCAAGCTCTCTTCATTAGCCTGAAAGGCTGCTACACAAGAAGGGACAAGGCCCAACCCTCAAATGAGCAGATTTTGTATGCTTCTCAATGTCATTGAACTTCTTGGCAATTTGACTGTCTACTACTTCTACGTGGTACTGCTTGTCCAGCAGAATACCTAGTGCTAGTGCTTTCAGCAGCTAAGCGCGTTTGTGAGCTATGCCTCAGGCACAAGCCCTTGGAACTGTTGCCGTGGCTGCCATGCAGTTCTGGAAAGCAGAATGTGGTCAGAATATGTCAGGTTGGTTTACAACAGCCACACGCATGTCGGTCCAGCCCTCAGGGGAGCTTCTATGGCGTTTGAAAGATTCCCAAACTGCCCGCTCTCTCCCTGGGGTCTGCCTAAGTGAAGAGGTTCTAAGCTGCAGCAAAGGGCTTTGCAGCCACACGAAAAGGGTAAGTTCAGCTGCTAGAGGCAAGAGCACAGCGGTAGCAAAAGTGCTTGATCAACATATTTCTGATTCTGCTGCTCAACTGAATGTGCAAGTGGCCCATTGGGTCTTTCTGTGACAGCACTTTTGCTTTTGCAGCTTCTGGTAAGCCTTCGCAAGCCCCAAGGCTTGTGCTCGATGCAGCCAAGCAAGCTCAACTAATTAAAGTGCAGAAGGCATCATGGTGCAGGATGCTTAGAAGAAAATTGTGCCAGCAAACGACTGTTGCGGGCAATGATTCGACATGTAGAAGGGGAGAGCTTGATTACTTTTTGGCCATGATGCTGTTGGAAGATAATACTGGCTTCCGGGCAACATACTCTATGCGGCAACTCTAGCCACTTCTGACGAATTTCAGCTCATAGTCTGCAAGTGCAAGAGCTGGCTGCAAGTAGACGACAGAATCATCACCAAAGCCGAGGATGGCGGATGGTGGGCGCAAACTCCGTCCAAGAGGACAAACCCGACTGGTTCAACAGCGCTTCGAACTCACCCTTTTTGGTTGCCTTGGCTGCTGTTCATGCAAGGGTCACTGTACGTTACGAGACCTGCTGTGCAAGCGTGTAAACAGCATAACTCTCATGCCTAGACGTGCTGCAATCACTTCCAGCTGCAAACGAGCAGCGGCTCCAGGCACCAGACTTTGCCGTGGTGTGGAGGTCATTCGAGCAAGCTGCGAAGCTGCGTGCAGTGAAGTGCCTGCCACTTTAACACAGACAGGACGCATCACTGGGGGTGTTTCTGCTGTGCAGCTTGACACCCTAGCGGCAAGACAGCACCTGTATGAGTGGAGGGTCTGGATCTCCTAGCATCCTCTTCAGCTTCCCATGCCGCAGCTGGGCAGATCGTGTTGAAGGCTTGCGCGTTGGCAGTTGCTGTGCCAGTCCAGCCATATTTCAGCGTTGACCTCTGTGCCCAGCGGAAAGCAGAAGCTACTTTCCTCAGAGCTACTCTCCTGTGTGAAGCTTGTGACTAGGACCGCTGCCACGTGCCAGTCAGCGATGCCATGTGAGGCAAATGCTTGCCGTCAAAGCTGGCAGAGGCCATTGAATGCAATTTCACCTGCAAAAAGCAGAGTTGCCTCTGCCAATCAGCTTCGGCAAGGCGGGCACTTAAATCAACAAAGCTGAGCATCTTGAGCCCTGCCTTCCGGCCCAAAGGGCGGCTCAGGTTGTAGTGCCAACTGCTTCGTCCAGCACGTCCGAAGTCTCCACTGGGCTCAGCTAAGGCCATGCGCAGCCTCAGTCTTTAGCTCGGGGTCTTGAGGATGCCCTTCATCCGCCAGCACGTAGCAAAATCCAAATTTTCCCCTGACCCACTCTTTGGAAAGCAGAAATCAGGTTGTGCCTTCAAAGGGCCCATTGCATTGGGCATTATATATGTTTGCACAGGGCTGAAAATTATCCAACAACTCACCCTTGGTTTTCCACGCCATCCCCTGCATCTGATCAGTAATCTGGAGCCGCAGGACACAACCTGCAGCCTTGGCTCCAAGCAGGAGGAGGACCCCTCTCAAACCCTCTCAAGTCTATCCATGCTAGCAAGGCACTCGGGATTTGGAGCTGCAAGTACAAAGTCACGTGGCTTGCGCATGAGCTCACGGTTTGTGGTCGTGACCTGGGCGCTGAGGACGGAAGGCCAGAAACGACAACATCGAGGAAACTGCCGGCACTTGGAACATGGAAGGCCACTATCACAAACTTCAGATCACTCCACCCCAGTGCTATCATTCGCAACTAAACAATAGATCCATCCCAGAACCCTCCCCTGCCCGAACGAGGCAGGTTGCATCCTTGAAGGAACCTCGGTTCAGGCACGGCAATGCCGAATAGAAGCCTTACCGAACAACAGGCTGCAAGGTCATAAGTCAAGCCACTTTTGGCTGGTAGGTCGTACGCTTGCTTTATGCCGGAAATGCCATCGTTGCTGGAGCGCAGAGTCTCCTGGGTCATGACACCAAGCATGTGAATCCTTACCCGCGCCATCTAACATTGCTTAATGAGGGTGGCCACTGAACGGTGTGTCCTGCCAAAAGATGTTGAACTGCTGGGGGCCACCAGATGGTTCGTAGTTGGAAATGCCACGTCTCGCCATGGCAGGGCTGCACCCCTCGCATCAGGAGAATCTGACAGCTCTCAGAAGTTTGGCTTACAATGTGGCAGGGTGTAGCAGCATGCCTTAGTAAAAAAACACTTTATGCCATATTCCTGCCCCATTCCAACTGCCTTTCGTCACATTTATCCTACAAGGAGCCATAAGCTGCATCAGCTTCACGAGCATAACTACGGACCACCTATCCGTGCCAAGACCAGCAACGTGCAACACATGTGGAACCACGGGGTCTTCTCCTGTTTTGGGCGCTAAAACCAACGGTTCTGTTGCGAGTTCAGCTGCTTGGCCAAATCGAGGAACTGGTCAGCGTTGTCTGCTAGCCGGCGAGAGCTGTCTGCTAGGCTTGAGATCTTGTCTCCCCGCTCGACTGCACCCGCAGTGGCTCCAGCAAGCGCTTCCTGGACACCAGCGGCTGCACGTCGAGTTGATTGTGGAGCAGACCGAGGGGGTGTTGACTGTGGGCCTGCTTGCGTCTGCCAAGCTGGTGCCAAACCCTTTCCTTGATCCACGCGGTTTCCATCTACCTCTGCAGGTAAGGGCTCGGACGGAAGCGCACATTCACGCAACGTCTTTGGAGAATTTCTTCCAAAAAGTGCACCGAGGATCCCTGGCGGATGTTTGCTGCTCTTTTCTGATGTCGCCTCTGCCGAGCTTACAGCTGGGCTATGGAGCGTCTGCAGCAAATATGCCAGTTCCGCAGCTTGAGCAGATGCCTCTAAAGCTCGACATTCTTTGATGTCGAAAGCTCCACCAATCCAGACGGCGCCAGCACAGTGGAGGGCAAAGTAACCATCCGAGCAGAAGCTCTGACCAGGTAAAACTCCAATCTGATTTGCATGAGAGTCACACTTCAAAGCTCGACCTGCACAATTGCCAGCGGCCAGTGAAGCAACTGGATGCAAACTGGGCAAGGCCACAACGTTCAGCTGTCCGTTGCACAGCATTGCATACACGCAAAGCTCACCATCGAAGTTTACAACTCCAGCCCCCATCGCGCGGCTGCTGAATTTCACCGTGTTCCCACCAGGCTGCAATCTGTCCGCCTCACGCTTGAAAATGCTGAGCCCAGAAGCCTGTATGGCTAGCAGGAAACCACTGTGCAAGAACAAACTTAGCACCTGTCCACCAGCCAACTGGGGTAGACGAGTTTCACTTACACGATTGTCCAAAAGTTTCAAATCCATGGACTGACCGGATATTTGGCGAAGTTCCCCGCTGGAAAATGCCAGCAAATATGTCCTTGCATCAGCATTTGGTGTGGTCTTTGCCAGCAGGTCCAGCTTGAGCTTGTTGATTTCCATTGCCGAGGCATGCTTAGGACTTGTTCCAGCGATCTTCAAAACGCAGCTGGACACCACTATTGCATCCAGCGATTCGCAGGGCGGCGGCGGCGGCCCTTTTGCAGGACTGACTTCACTGCCTCCACAAACCAATGACTTGGAGAACAGTACATGCCCATTCGAGCAATCGACAACACAAAAATGCGAAGTTGCATCCACAGAAACGATTTGCAAAGATCCTGCGTCAACTGTCAGTTTGAGTTGCACGACGCGAGCTGAGTGCTGATGCAATCTCATCGAGCATGCAAATCCAGGCGGCAGTTCCGGGACCTGACTTTCGCAAGCGGCTTCGCTCTCTTGAGAAGCCAATACCAAAGATTGAGCCTTCCACGCAGCTGCTTCAGTTGGGGTAAGCGTCTGCTGATCAGTTTGCCACACGAAGAGAACCACCTCGCCAGAGCTGGAGCCAGCAGCCACAGCCCCAGCAACAAGTTCCAAGTCCAGTGCCGTGACCCGAGCAACTGCATTTGCTGCTTCACCCGCAGCAAATGCAGGACAACTATCCACACCATCGTAAACGTCCTGAGTTGCGGGCTCTAGCAACATCCCTGTTTTTGGATCAAAGCATGGGCGCCAAGGAAGGGATGCCAAGGGCTGCAAAGACAGAACATGCAACAGTAGAACCGAAGCATGACTGCGCAGCCAGAGTCGTATGCAACCATCCGTATGCCCACTGCAGAACAGCCCCCGACAGCCTCCAGCCAATAGTGCCCAAGTGCGCACAAATTCTCGAGACTCAGGTGGCAGTGACTTGCCTTGGACGAAGCTTGCATAATGTGCCACGTGGTGGGCAAACATGGTCTCAACAAGCTGGATGGGTGACTGCCAAGAGTAGTCTTGCTCTTGCGGACTGAATGCCTCTGACCCCGAATCCTGAACGGAAAAGCTGGACCGCGAAAACATGTGACGCACCCGAAGCTCACCTCTGCAGCATTCCCAGCCAACAGTCTGCTGTCGTTGAATCTGCCAAGGCAGTATGCAATCACCAATTGCTATCCTGAAGGCCGACGTTGCGTCATCAAATTGAAACTGTACACAATGGCTGGCACCGGGGGCCAAATCAATTTCGTACCTTTCGTCACCCATGCTGGCAGCTTGCTCCGCCACATCAACGTGCAGCAGCCCTGCTGTGCCCTCGGCACCTGGATCGCAGCTGATGAAGCCTACTTGAGCATCCAGGCTGAAGCTGAGCTCACATTCAACAAGATCAACATCCTGTGGGAGCATCCACTGAAGCTTTTCCCTGCCACAATGATTTGTTGTTTCACCGCCAGCTTCGAAGCCGCCTGTCAGTACGAACCATCCATCACTGGGACAGCTTGGAAGATCAGGAGGGCTTAGGCCAATGCCGTCCTGTACGACTCCATCGCGTACGGCCCACTCGATGGACGGCTCCTCACTGCCCTTCTGGGCCTGCTGGGGCTTTGCATCTCCACCAGAAGCACTGTGGGCTCCCACACCATCGTCAGGGTCGATGATTTTCATTTGTGGCAAGAGCTGGAGGCAGGAAATGTTCGAAAGCTGCAAAGAACCCCAGGCAAACGGCCAAACTTGCGTTGAACTGCGCTTCAAACAAACGACTTCACACACATTTGTCCGAGCCTGGATACAAAGTGCAAATGTCTGTGTGACATTTGGCATGCTCTTCTCACCGTTGGTTGCTGCTGTTGGCTCTGCGAGTGCAGTCGATGGAAAGCTGGGAGAACCGAAGGCTGCATCCAGATTGCCTGGACCACATAGCACGACAGCTGCAACATCTGATAGAACAGTATCAACTTGGGACCATCCATCCCCCGTGAGAAACAGCAAGGCTGCATCTGGCATTGACCTTAGCACGAGCGCTTGGCCCAATTTGCTCGAAAGATTCTCAGCAGGAACAGCTGAGAGATCACCAACGTTCCATTGCAACGCCACCACATTTTGACATGGACCGCCTGGAAGGACAACCCGCGCCAGTGCAGAAGAACTTGAACGACTGTATATAGTCATGTCGCTCCGGGATGCACCTAAAAAATGTGTACCTGAGGGGCACCAGGCCAGCGAAACAACAGGGGAGTTGCAATCAAAGGTCCTGATGATCCGGTGCTTGTCCAAAGACCATAGCACCAAACTCCCGTCACCAGTCGCCACCAAGACCTCTGGCACAGACTGCGGCACCACTGCCACAGCTGTAATGGGGCAGGCCATACTTGCTGTCCTTCTGTGACTGTGCAAGGCGGACCAGGAGATGCAATAAGATCCTACATGCGGTTTTTCACCAGCGTCAAACATTCGGACGTCACCCTCATCTGTGCCTAAAAACACTAAACATGCATCCTCTGCAACAGCTATGCAAGTGACCCCAAATCGTAGAAGCGCACTTTGCGGAGGTTGACAACCTGCTCCACTGAATTCCCACCATTGGGCCATCCAACTAGCCTTGGCGGGCATTGACGAACTTGATTGCGAAGAGGGTGTGGTTGCGACACCCACTAGCAAGACAAGCCCTGCCCGCGGCAAAATTAGAAACTCTGGCTGCAGCGGCGCCGCGGGGTTTTTCAGCGTCATTTCGTGTTCAGATGTGACCAACCGAATATGTCCAGCTGTAGTGCAAAAGGCAACCAATTTTGCTGCTGGAGAGTAGGTCAAAGTCCGCGGCACCAAGTTTCCAGAGCCAAGCAGCAAGCCTCCATGAAGTTGAAAACGATCTGCTGATAACCGACCATCATATACGGTCGCTGCCTCCTGTTCGCCTTTGACGGCATGCATTAACTTGGAAAAGCCATCTTTGAAGAATGCCATGGCAGCAGAAACACCGAAACATTCGGAAGTTGTCGCTGCAAGCTAGCAACCATAACTATGGTGGTTTTCCCAGATCAATCTGTTGAGCGACGTCCTTTAGTACAGCACTCTCTAATTTATGTCAGCTACTACACCGTGTGGGTCCAAAGCTGGCACATCACCTGAATCAAGGCTTCGCGGGAAAAGGGCCATCAAAATCATGCAACATGCACATCGAAATTCAGAACCCACCACATTTGAGGCCTTTATTCCAAAATGCCATTTGCAAAACCCTCTCTGGTGCAAGAAACAGAGCTTGGTTCTGTTTTGTGGTTGCAACACAACAAACGTACCTGCAACTAGTTCAACTGTTGGCGGAATTTTTTTGAAATTTTTTGAACACCACATGACACGACTCAAATACAACCAAAGTTGCAACAGTTGCAAACCCGAAGGCTCGACAAATTTTTGGTCCACGTAAGCAAATCAACCACTTGCACCCGGACATTTGCGCAGTGACCAGCAAATAGCCCTCTTGAATACTGCAGACATGTTAGTCCACTGTCTTTTCTTTGTGCGTTTTGGCCATATGTGGACCCCACTCAAAAAAACAGTTGGAGCCGCAGATGCCAAATTTGAGCCGGGGCTCATTTTACAGGGGAAACCGTGGCTAAATCACATTTGCAAGATGGACAAGGGTGGTGCACGAGATTCGACCCTGCGCAGCGCAGAAAAGACTGCAGGGGCCTGGAATTTATACAATCGGGCACCAGTTGCTCAAACTGTCGCCGGGGAAACAAGACCTGTCACGGGCTCCACTTCATATAGGATGTAGGTCGAGGACCACAGCGTTTCTTCCGGAATGGTTTGCACGCGGCATGGAGCAGATGATGTAACTATTGTTCTCATTCAATCACATGATGCAAGGCTTTTCTTTATCCACTGTAAACTGCAAACATAGAATGTTTCAACCCCTTACCCTTGCCCTTGCGCCTTGCCCTAACCCTAGCCTTTAAACTTACCCTGACGCTTGCCTTTGCCCTTGCCCTTACCATTTCCATTATCATTATCATTATCATTATCATTATTATTACTGCTACCATTACAATTACTTGCGGCAGCGTTAACACACCCCACTCGGTGAGAATACACGTCATCTACTGCGGACGCTGGCATTGGGAAGATTTCGCATCAGCGGTCTATTTACACATCAAAAAATGGCAATCCCAATGCAGACGCTTTCCAAGGCAACCCGACGTTAAAGCGGATTTTCCCGTTTTGCTGCGGACACTGGGGTTTGAGAAACATATGAAAAGATTCAAACCTAAATTTCGTACGATTCCCCATGTAGATGCTGGTTTTGCACATGCCCAAACATGAGATGATGAGATACTGCCATTACCCGACTGATGCATCGTGGACCAAAAAAGGCCGCCCAATGGTTGTCGATACTAAACGGTTGAGCCATGGCGCATAAACAAATATCGTAAGAACAGGTGGCATTCTTTTAAATGCAAAGGGAGTGTGCTGGTTTAGTCTTAGTTCCTAACCCCTTACGGCCGTTACGGTTACCCTAGGCAGCTTTTTCGTCCAGCGCAGGAGTGACTCGCAGCTGCAGGTAGGGCAGATTTAAAGTAGAGGCTGACCAACCTCATTCCCAGAAGCCCTGCGCCTAGCCTCTTTGCTCAAGTGACCGCCCCTTCAACGACTTTGACATCCGCAGAGGGCTCTGTCTCTGCACGATTGCACGTGAAAACCGTTGGTTTCTAGGAATGCACACTCAAAGTTGAAGAACGGCAGCAGGGCCGGACAACACTTGCACAAAATTCCTGTCATGATTGAAGCGCTCCAAATCATGCTGGCAGGTGAGTACTGGCTGAGCAAAGTTTTGCCGTCGCTCTTTCCCCCGGACTTCTTCAAATGGACTGATTGCATCTGTGCACTCAAACACAACTAGGATCGCCTCTGTGAATCTGCTTTTGACCAGTGCTGGCATCTGTCGCTGGTCCCGTAACCGTTGCATGCCCCGCTTGACTTGAAAACTTGAGAGCCGTAGCCTGCTCAAGGAATGCAACAAAACGTCGATGAATGCCGGTCTTACCTCAACCGAGAAACTCACACAACAATGAAGGATGCAAGTTCACAGCGCTCAAACTCCGGCGCTGCTGAGGCACACGCACGCATCTTATGCATCGTCCGCTGATGGCAGTCCGAACCCGTAGCAATCTGCCCTGCGGGCGGGGCGACGGCAAAACCCCTAAGCTGAAAAAACATCGAGACCAAGCGCTTGGCTTAGATTTGCCGCGATTGACTTCAGTGTCTTCGTTTTCCTCCACCCAGCGCCCATCTGCAAAGTCAAGCTGGGACACAGCACAGGGAGGTCTAGGTGGGAGAGTTTGACGTGAAAAGCTCTCTTTCTGCCGGTGTAATGACTTCATGGGTTGCAAGAGGCGCGAACATGCATGTGATTTTTGACCAGAAGGCTCCCCTCCTTGCCAGGTAGGGCAACGCTCGCATCAGTAAGTCTGCACAGCTTTCGGGCTTGCTGGAGCAGAACTGAAGCTCTAACCCACAGGTTTTTCTTAGTTGGAAGCGGAAGTACGTGGCCGGCAGAGGGCTCGCCACCTTGTAGTGCAGATCACCATTGGTCCAGTTCAGCTTCTGAAGCTTTTCTGCGCTGTCATGTCTTGGAAGCACGAAGACGTTGATGGTGAGCTCCCTCCGAATGTTTTGTCCGATGGGCCGTGCCCCTGCACACAAGAGCTCTACAAACTTTTGGGGAGTATGTTAAACAGAGCTGTACCATCCATTGACTTTCACTGTGCGGCTCTCTTTCAAAGTGCCCAGAATCTCGGCGTCGCTACAATCCCACCCTCCATTGTTATGGCTATTCCGCACAGACCCACCGTTTCATTGAAATTCCATCTTTCACCACTCGTCTGCTTGCTTTTCACCCAGTGCATGGCTGCGATGAAGATGCCACGATGTGCACCACCAAATTGGATGAAGAACTGGATGCTCTTCTGGTCAAGCCTCACACCGGCTTGCCTCATTTGTTCCTCAAGCTTCGAGGTGTAGCTCAAGGGAGGCGTCCACATGAACTTCTGGGTGATTTCATTGGGTGTAAACACAGTCAGGCTCGATGCAGCGGAATCTCCCGAAGCGGAGAATAGCAAGACCCTTGGTCGACAGCGTTTACTGCCCTTGAGGAGCTCTGTGCATAGCTGATGCGATGAAAGAAGCGTGTGAACCTCATCGTACACAAGGGTCAAATTCTTTTCTGCCGCTAGCTTCAGGGCATTCCGAAAGGCCAGTTCATCTCTGTTGATCCTGTTGTCCGTTTCTCGATGGCTTCTACAATTCCCATCACCCAAACAAGCTGGTTCCCTTCGCCAGTAAATGGCACAGTGACGTACTTTTCGGGAAACTGACGTGCCAAATGTTCCGCCAATGTTGTTTTGCGGGTGGCTACGCCGCCGCGGATGAAGACAACACTATGTCCGCCTTCAAACAACTTGTCACCCTTCTCACAATACGCTTGTAGGGAAATGAACACATGCTGGTCTTCTTGAGCCACCTGTCCAATGGGTGGCGATGTCTGGAGCTTCTTAACAGGTGGTTCCTGTCCATTTTCTGCAGGTCGCTTCATGGCAGAGGACAGCTTACATGTCTCACAATGTGGATACTCAATGTATGCATGATAAAATGGCAAACAGTCTATCAAAACATATGGTGCACTGTATCTCATGAATGCTGCATCTGACTGCTTGAGTGACAAACCTCAACTCAGTGGGTTGTGCCAACACCTGCATTATCGGACACATCAAATCTCGCGCCATCAAGCACCTGCGCAAAAGGCTTTACCATCAACGCCTGCCCACGAAGGGAAACATCTACATGAAACATCGTCTGCAAACAACTTTCTCGTCGTAAGGAAAACATGGTTCTGCGAATTTGCTAGCATGGTCATGGTCAGCGGAAATTCTCAGTATTTGCCCCCTGAACTTTGCCTGATAACATTGCAACGCTGCATCACATTGCCATTTTGGTACAAAACATTGTTGGCACGTTGTGCTCGAGTGCATGAAACGAACGTGCACCATCGGCTTGAGCCGACGCTGGCACACACAGGTTGCAAAAGTTCTGCCAGTCTTGTCCCGTGAACCACTACATTTACATCACACCTAAAACATGTCCAATAAAGATTTGCTGGTTGCTCTCGGGCAATCAAAACCATAAAATCTGGAGAAAATCATCGCAAAACGGGAGTCACAAAGCACTGGCAGGCAAAGCATCAGTCGAAGTCTAGGCACCTGCAAAGAAACAGCGTGCCGGCCAGCCGCCTGCCCGCCCGCTCATGAAGCGGCCACAGACTGCGGCACAATGTTGGCGGCCCTGGAACCGACTGGACATACCATCGTGCAGGCGGAAAAGGCC